AGCGTGCTTACTGATGTAAGTTCAGTAAAGGGGGATGTGGCAACAATGAAGGAGGACGTCTCAGCAACAAGGGCTGCAATCAATCAGCTCCTCCAAACATTTATACCCCAAGCATCTCAGCAACAAGCTCCTTCCACTCAAGCTCAAGACCCTTCTCAGCCTTCCCAAGCCAACGGCTTTTAGATGCAAGTGTAGCATCATTTTCTCTTCATTGTTGCTTTTAACTTATGTAACATTCTTAAAACTCAATCCTTTTGTTCTTAAGACTAAATGCTTTGTTTAATATTAATTTTATGTTAAGTATTTTGTAAACCAACTTTCCATTAATATAATTTCATGTTTTGTTTAAGATTAATTATTAGAATGTCAATTAGTTTAATTGGTAAACTAAATCTGTAATCAAAAATAGAATCATTTAGCCAAAAAGGGTGGTTATATATTGCCACGAAAAAACAAAGTGGAAAAAACGTGGCAAGTTTAAGCCACGATTATAAAACTTAAAACCGTGGCTAAAGATGCCACGAGAAAACAACGTGACAAAATTCGTGGTTGTGTAAAGCCACGATAAACTGCTAAAACCGTGGCTAAAAATAGTGGCTTCAAGCCACGAAACTGTCGTGGTAAGACCGTGGCTAAAGATGCCACGAGAAAACAACGTGACAAAATCCGTGGTTGTGTAAAGCCACGATAAACTGCTAAAACCGTGGCTAAAAATAGTGGTTTCAAGCCACGAAACTGTCGTGGTAAGACCGTGGCTTTTTAACCACGATAAGCCACGGTTTTTTTCAGCCACGAAGCTATAGCCACGGTAATCTTCTCGACATTGAATCGTGGCTTCTTATCAGATAGCCACGCTTTTTGGCTTACGGAGCCACGGTTTCGAAGTGGCTGTTTCGTGGCTATACGTAAGATTTCTACTAGTGAATTTCCGGCGAAACATGATACTATTAGGGACTAAAGTCCCACATCGGTTGTTGGAAGGAATCTCTAGCAATATATAAGATAGATGAGCCACTCCACTTATCACCAATTGGTTTTAAGTTGAGTGGCTCATCTATCTTATTGCTTGAGTTACGAGCACCATAGTAGATGACACCATTGAAAGAAGTAGATAACGTTTTCTGAATACTTTCTTATTGCTTGANTCACCAATTGGTTTTAAGTTGAGTGGCTCATCTATCTTATTGCTTGAGTTACGAGCACCATAGTAGATGACACCATTGAAAGAAGTAGATAACGTTTTCTGAATACTTTCTTATTGCTTGAACAGTATTAGGGACTAAAGTCCCACATCGGTTGTTGGAAGGAATCTCTAGCAATATATAAGATAGATGAGCCACTCCATCTAATAGATACCACAATATATTACTTCGGGCCTATATGCGTCGCATTCTCTGCCTGAGATAAATTAACTCTGATAATCATAAACCGGCAAGCGAATGTTCTTGAACATAACAACATCATGCCATTTGCATTGATATCATCAATATATATTAGTACTCTGATAGTAGCATATTGTCGCATGTTCTATATATTCTTTTTATCTATTTTTGTCAACATGTATATAATGTGTATAAAGGTGGCAAGAACAAGAATATACCCATACCAACACCCCCATAGATGTAAACTTTAACTCTGTATATATACATGCGTACGAATATATGTGTGTGATGATGAGGATCACTCGTGTGCACAAAGGAGCATAGTAATACATTTTCCAATAATGTAGAGCTTTCCTTTCTTCTTGTTCAGAAACTTCCCAACTCCTTTTGGTGAAGAAAACTTCTTCTTCTCGAAATTCTTCACTGCCTCCTCCTTTGTCTTCTCCCTCATTGTTTGTTGTGTTTTCATATGAAAAGATTTGTTATTATGGGGGTTTTATTGTGTAATTGATGATTGTGTGATATTTAAAGTGTAATTTAAAAGGAAGCAAAGGTTCATCGTTTATATTGGAGTGTGAGAGATAGAGACATGGAGAAAGTACCCACCATTGCTTTAGGACCTTTCAGTGAAATAACCCAAAAACAAAAGCCAGTTGTGTGAGTGTGACCGAGTAGCTTCCCAATTGTGGTTGAAAATATTTGATGTATTGTCTTCATCATGTCTACTTTCAAATTCAAAGACACATCATCGGTTCAGATGTTTGTGATGGATTTATTCATCTAGTTAGTCACTACTTATTGCTTTACTTACTTGCATTAACGTTACGATAATAATCTAAGAATATGTTACATTTCTATTTCTGATCGTTATTATACACATTAATTTTAATCTATCTTTACACCACTTGAAACTTAAACTAACATAGTACGATTGAAGCTTATCATACTTTTTCATATATATTAACAAAATTGATTTATATAAGGTTGACAAAAAACGAAAAACTGTGAAAAGCAAGAATGTAAATTATTATATTTTTCAAAAGAAACACACCCATTCTACTGACCGTAGTCCATATGACATTTGGCATTTAATCTCTGACGGGCATTCATAATCATTCAAATCCATGACGAATCACGGTCAAGTCAGTCTTCCTTACTGTGTGGACAGCTCATATATTGAGTAAATTGCCAGGGTCCTCAAAGCATGTTCATAATCATAAGCGTTTTGTTTTCTTATTGAATTGAACCACATACACTTCTCATTTCACATAGAAAAGTAGTAACGTCAAAATTTAGTCAAAAAAAATATACATGTAATTTACTTTCTTTCCAAGAGTTTTTGGGCGAAGCGATAATACTGTATGTATAAACTATTCTATATACAAGTTATTGGCTTACGATTTTTTTGGTGGGTTTGTTAAGAATATCACTTTTGGAATATGCGATGCGACGGTCTCTTTCAAATAAAGTGTGACCATAAGCAAAATCCTGCTTACAATAGTATTTGTGGTGCAAGTTCTGCGTATTCCTTTTCTCCTGTCAACAATTTTTGGTTTTGACCATAGTGATCAGACTCGAACTATTTGTATGAATCTTTTCTTTTTTTTGACGGCAAGTGAACATATCTGCTTTATATGAGAGTGTCAAATTTAGAGGTTTAATTTCATTTTCCATTAAAAGTGGGAAGTCACATGGGAGAGTTTTATATATTTTCCAACGTTGGAAGTGAAATGTCGAATCCATCACCATCTTACTCATAATCAGTGAGAAAGTAAACAAAGCTAATTAGGATTCTTTATAATGCACGAAAGGGCAATGTGTAGGGGATGCACCTTGCACGTGAAGTTCATGCAGACAAGACAGCCCTTGCCGGTTGACTATTTCATTTTCTTTGCTTTCGAAAATACTAAATGCAACCTAAATTGTGAGACAATGATTGGTTTTTCGACATTTTTTCCTATCTATCTTCGTTCCATTTGCGGTCCATAAAATATTTTATATGTAGGGACGTACCTGTTCACTGTCTTAATCTCGGCGTTGTTTAGTTTTCACTTGCCAACTTACTGGCTTTAGTTCTTATTTCTAGAACAAAATTTGGGTTCACAGTTCACACCTTATGGTGAATTTTATAATTCACCTTAATTCTTGTGACCAATCATTCTGCCATGTAAGATTAATAAAAAAAGGATATTAAAATTAAAAGAAAAGGAAAATAGCTTGAAAAAAAGAAAAAAGAAACTAACGTTTTGCTACGCCGTCCATCGACAGCTTCTTCATCATCGCATAGAGAAAATATGAATACAAGGGTTTGTCAACTTTAAGTCTCTAGTTTTATGTTTTCAAATCCAATTTCAAGTTTGTCAAGTTTGAACTGCAAGAAACAAGTTAGTGTTGATTTGTCTCCTTTTGACCCAAAACTGATGGTATCTCAGTACTCGATTAGTGAAACTTAATCAGTGCTTAAGTTCTTAGTTCTTGGTATGATCAGTGATGCTTTCTGAATGCCATGAGATTGTTATATTCCTATAAGAAATCTAGGAAAGAATTGGTTCAAGGGTTTGTGTTGTTGAGTGAAAAAGTTATCTACTTTATGGATTCCAGAGATACCACCTGATAGAAAGCTTTAGGCTTGATACTGGCATCGGAATCAAACAGCTGTTGCGTGTTTTGTTCTTTGCTGATCAAGTTCTGCTCTTTGTACTCCTGATTATGTAGATTATAGCAAATGACTAAGTCTTCTCTTTCTTTTTTGCTTTCACCAAAATTGTAGGCCACGGAAGGATTTTTTGTGTACATGGCAGCTTTGTAAATGTCTCGTGAATGGATTGGTATTCTGCAGTTCCCTCCTGCTACACAGTCTACTCCTTGAGAAGTTCAAAGAAGAGCTTGCATTCTTATGTCTAGCTTCTTTTACTTTCTTCTTGTTTAATGTATCCTTGGTTTTAGTTTCTAATGTGGAGGGGGAAAAAATGGTGTAGGATGTGAGCTCACTAACAGTACTTGTAATGGGGAAAGGCTGTGTCGGAAAGTCTTCAACTGTTAATTCAATTATAGGCGAGAAAGCTGCTGCAGTCAGTACTTTCTAGGTACCACGTTTAATCCTCTTCTCATCTCTTTCCCCATGACTGTTTTTATATATCTTTACTTATGTAAAATGTGTTGGTTTTTCTTATTTATAGTCTGAAGGAGTGAGACCGTCCTTGGTCTCTCGCTCAAGGTCGGGTTTTACATTAAACATCATCGACACTCTTGGACTTATTGAAGGAGGATATGTTAATGATCAAGCCCTCAACCTATAAAAGGGTATGTATGTTTCTCATTCTCTTAATTTGGGACTCATTTTTTAATCATGTCATTAGTAATTTTGATTTGTTCTTTGAACAGATTTCTCTTGAACAAGACCAAGGAGGAAAAGTTAGTGTTGTGTTGTTGTAAAAAAAGTATCCAACTCCAATAATAAAAGAGTTCGAGAAAATAACAATGTAATAGAGAGTGTCAACTAACTTTTTTGTATTGAATCTACTTGGAGATGAACTAACATATCACTCTGATTTTTATTAATCTTTCTCTTCTCTTTGGGCAAAATATTTAGTGACTAATTAATAAAATTAAAGGTTGTAGAACATAGATACCCACAATGTACAGTGCTTCTTGCCGTACCGTTTGGACACATTTACTCTACTTGAACTTCAGCTCTGGCTGCTATTCTTGCCGTACCGTCTGGCTCAAGTCTCTTCTTCTTCTTCTTCCTTCTTTATAGCTTGATCTCTGCTACTCTTCGTTCTTCTTCTTCTTGGACACATCTTCTTAGACTACGTTCGTTTGTAGTAATCAAAGGTCTAATTCCAACAAAAACTTATCTTTTAACTCGATGCACTTTTTCATCATCTTCTTCTTAAGTTGTTTAACACTCTTTCCAAAGTAAAAAAATCATCATCAAAGGTCTAATTCCAACAAAAACTTATCTTTGTTATCATCAAAGGTCTAATTCCAACAAAAACTTATCTTTGTTAGCAATGATGTTCAAATAGCAAGAAGAAGAAGAAAATCCATGGATGAACATGGTTTGATTTAGCTTGGAAAAGGTTAATATCGAAATTGGATTTGAAAGCATAGAATTAGAGACTCAAACTTGACAAATCCTTATATTCATATTTTCTCTGTACCATGAAGAAGAAGTCGTCACGGCGTAACAAAACGTTAAATTCTTTTTTCTTTTTTCAAGCTATTTTCCTTTTTTCTTTAAGTTTAATATCCTTTTTTTATTAACAGAATGATTGATCACAAGAAGTGAGGTGAATTATAAAATTCACAGTAGGGGTGAACCCAAGTTTTGTTTTTACTTTTATTACTTTTAAAAAAAAATAGAGGGTTCCATTTTTGTAGATTTTTGATTGTTGAAATCTATAGTGAATATGGGTTAGAAAAGACCAGACAAAGAAATAAATACAACATATGAATTTCATTGATCTTCGTTTGGACTAGTGGACAATCATCAAGAGTACATTAATTGTATTTTTGCCTGAAAGCTTTACTCTTGAAGGTATAACCAACCATACCCTTGAAAATGTCTGTAAATTTTGGCATAGTAATCAACTGAAAATTAAACGTTCTTAAAATAACACATCAAGCGACTCGTGTTAGAAGATTTCATGTAATAATAATCAGGACATTTCACTTCAGTTTAGGACTTCATCATTCTCTAAAAGAAAATCCACTGAAACCCTGACAAAACACAAGTACATATAGTATCGCTGTTTCTCTGGTCCATCAAGTATACAGATTTTAAACCAAAGTCAATAAAACTTTTATCAAAACGCCAACCAAACCAAACCGGAAATTACAGGAAAAAGAGAAAAAAAAGGAGAAAACAAGAAAGAATCTCGTCTGGGCATTTCGTCGAACACTTTGTCTGCATTTTCCCAGGCAAAGCTTAGACAGAATCTTCACTGAACTGACTGAGATTCTCTTCTTCTTGTCTCTTCTTCATGTCCTTCTCGTATTGCTTCAACGCTTCCTCCATCTTCATCTGCGTAAAACCCCAAGTTTCAAGAGAGAAAGAAAAAAATGCAAAAGCCACGATTGACCAAAAAAAAAAAAGAAAAGAAGAAGAAACAGACCTTGTAGCTAACTTCGACGCGATGCATAACGTAGAATCCAAGTGTTCCACCGAGAAGTGTTCCAGCTATGATCCGTGCGTAACCCCATGTCATCGAGCTCAACGCCATTTCCTCGCTTACTTATTTTCCTTCCTTTGATTTCAGTTTACGACTACTTTGTATGATCTCGTTTTCATTTACATGAACCAGATAAAAGAACGTACCGAGTGGTTCAATTCTATTTTACGCATATGTGTGTCAAACCGAGCTTATCTCCTGTCCGGTTCAGATCCAGAATCTATTCTATTAAAATAGAGTCATTATTTTTATCTACTGATACAAGTTCTCATTTAAATTTAGACTCTTTCTAGAGTGCTACAAGTAATAAGTCTAATAATTGATTGAACCGCATTACTTAAATTAAACCAACACAATTAATGTAACATGACGACCTTAATGTAAAGTATCTTCAAAATACGGCATATATCTATGTGTCTACCAAAAACACATATTTTCTCCTACAAATATGGAATGTTCTAAAAGAATATATATTATCAAAATATGAAATATGGAAATCTACTAAGTATATTAATATGAAAATCGTAATATACCATTTAGCATCTTAACAATTCCTTAAAAAAATGGAAATTTAATAATTATATGAAACCAATGGAAATCTACTCTATTAAAATATAGTCTTTCTTTTTATCTATTAATACAAATTGTCACTTAAATTTGGATTCTTTCTAGAGTTTTACAACAAGCCATATCCCCTATATATTAATTGAGAAACATTTGAAAAGATGTAACCTCAAGTTTGTATTAATTAAAAAGTAACCTTGCTTAGTTGTCAATCAATTAGCATATCAATTAAACTGACGTGGCGGCTTTAGGTTCAATTGAAATTTGCTAGGAAAAAATAATTAGAGACGCATATAACGCATGTAACATAGTTTATATATTTATA